TAAGCCTTTCCGAACCTCTCCGAAGGGCCGGCGTCCGAACACCCGCAGAAGCTGTAAAATTGGACCCGTTAGGACTGAGCGACCCGGAGCGAGCGACGGTTGTCGGGTCACTTGCAAAACAGGGCCACCAGGGGGCGGTGTAGAGAGGTGGATGGGAAACCTCGCTTGATTTTTTTCAGGGAAACTAACCTAATCGGGGGAACAAATTCACAACTGAATCGGGGGGGGATGAAGGTTTTGTATAATTGATCTCTGATTGTTTAATCGGACGGCCTTGTGCCCCTTTCAGTTGCCGTGCTTGTGCATCGTAAGGAGTTAAAAAAAAAAAAAACTGGAGTTCGCGAACCCGAACTTAAATATGAGACCTTCAGTTTGTCCTCCCGGGGTCCAGTTTTTATCACGACCCTTCTCGGTTTCATCGTGGTCGTTTTCTGTGGCCGTGAGAATCCAATCTTTTTCTTTAAAAACAATGTCCGCGGCTGTTGATCTATTTTGTCTTCCCTGGGGGGCACTGCTTGCTGGCTCCGCTGTGATGGGTTAAGGCCCCCAGGTGGGTCTCTAAGCTTTTACTTCTCCTTGTGTCTAAAATGAGAAACTCTGTTGTGATTTTCCCCCTCCATTTCGAAGTTTTGATCCATATTGCTTGTCTAAGATGACCAAATGACCAAAACCTGGTTTACCCCCCCAACACGGTTTAACATTTCTGGTCGTTGAAACAATTTTTGGACCGTCGTTTTTTTTTTTGCAATCATTTTAAGAGGGGCTTCGCGGGTGTTGCGGTTTGGTCCGGTGGAGTCCACTACGTCTTGGGGACGGGGGACGGAACCTCGATCCCTCTGAACAAGTTCCTTGAGCTTTTCTCCAGTCTCCCCTCGAAACGCTTCTCCGTCCCAAGTACAAAGTCGAGATCTTGACGGGGAAAGACGTTTTCCAGTCACGGCGAGGCGGAGATGATGGACGACTTTGGGATACGCCGCATTTAGCGAATGTTTGACACGTTTTAGGTTCGTGTGGGTTTCTTTTTTCTTGGAGAAAGAGAGAGATTGATGATTCTAACCAAGAGTTTGAGCTGCTCGCAGGGAAACGCGGGACCGGGACGGGACTCCCACAACTTGTAGCACAAGGAGAGAGAGACAGTGTGTGTGTGTGTGTGTTGATGGGGGAGCGGGCGGTTTTCCTGGGGTCAGGTTACACACAAAAAAAGAGTGGTCTTACTCATCTGAACCCTTTTAACACCCATCTCCGCCCCCAGCATCCCGGAGCTCAGTAAACTTTTTCTCTCTCCAGGGGAGTTCCAGTCAGGACGCGTCGCTCCCTCTCGGCTGCGGTTTCTGAAACGTGATTGAAGGGGGGGGAACTCGTACCTATCTGTGGAGACAGTTGGTCATTTGTGTGTAGGACGTGATAGGCCCGCACCCACAAAATACAAAGAGGATTACGTTTGTTTATATGTTGTTTCTGAGGGGAGAATTTACCAAGCTTTGTTCAGGGTACTACTTTTGGCCGATGAGACTTTTTTTTTAAAAAACCCCAAAGTCTATTTTTTTTTTCTAGAGATGTGCTTTATACCTTAAGGAGCATCTTTGCTATTGAGCTGAAGGTTGTTGGGTTTTTTTTTTAAATACATATGTGTGTGTGTAAAAACTGGTTGAAGTGATTATCGGGGTCAGTTTCCGACGCGCGATGGCGACGGCCGGGTCAGCGCGCGAGGCGGCTCTGCTCCTGCTCTGCGCGCACGCCCTGCTCGCGCTGCCCCGGGCCGGGTCGGAACCGAGCCCCGGCCCCGCCGCCGCCGCCGGCTCCTCCAGCCTGGCCTTCGTGTTCGACGTCACCGGCTCCATGTACGACGACCTGCAGCAGGTGGTGGAGGGCGCCTCCCGGATCCTGGAGAAGAGTCTCCGGAGAAGAACGCGGCCCATTCGGAACTTCGTGCTGGTCCCGTTTCACGACCCAGGTGGGTACGACGGCGTGGAACAGCCAGGGGTCTCCAGGGATGCGAGAAACAGCTCAGTTTACATAGTTCGAAATTGTCCCACAGAGTAGGAAACGTACTGCACTGGGTCATGTTATCGATTGTAATCAATTATAATTCTGTAATTATTCGCATCTTTCTGAAAAGGCTATGTCGCCTTAAACGGGGCATACAGGGACGTGACAGTTTCTAGTAGGGGCTTAGAAAACGATTTGTTTTCTTCCACAAACCGTTTCACAAAACGACACATTTCCTTCGGTTTTCGTTGGTTTTTTTTCATTTACTGCCACCCGTGATTTGTCGTCATCTTTACCGCTTGTGCGCGGTCCTGACCGCAGACGGTAGGGGTCGCTGCAGCGCCAGCCTGCCCAGGCGCCGAGACGCCCGTCTCTCTCTCTGTCTCTCTCTCCTTCCTGCCACCCACGTTCAGAGGCAGGGAAGCCCTGCGCGCCTTGTCTTCGCCCTGCTGTGTGCGCCACTAGGGGTGTTAGCATGACAACCCGTACGTGATAACGTCTTATCCTCGTCTGTTTCTTCTTCTTTTTCCCAGCCTCAGTCCCAGACTGTCCTGGGGTCAGCTGCTTTGGGTGCTCTTCTCCACTTGTCTCTGTCGAGCACATCTCCCTCACTCACTTCACACACCTCCATATCTTTTCTCACACAATCTATCCATCTCTTTCTAGGCCTGCCTCTTCCCCTGTTACCTTCCACCTCAGATTCCATTACCCTCTGTGTTACTTCCTCAGCGTCCCTCCTCCTGTTTCTTGAGGGGAAAAAAAAAATCCAATATTAATTGGGGCTTTTCTTTCTCGAGCGGGAAGTAACCAGCCGAGTCTGAAAACGCCAGACGCCGTGTCGTTTACATAAGGTCATTAACGCTAATCCAGATAATCATATAAAAAAAAAAATGAACCCAGAGCCATTTAAGACAACTGGAAATGAAGAGGCAGTTTCTCGGTTACGCATCCCCTGCGAGAGGCGCCTCATTAGGGATCAGGGGATCAGGAGCTCCTTGGTGCCTGTCCGTCACAGGCGCCAGAGACGGAGAGCGGCTCCTGTTTCTGTCCTGTGGGGCTTTGTGGGAGCTGGGAATCCTCTGGAAGGGCGTTTCTGCTCTGTAGTTTGTGTGAAGCGCCCCGAGAATGCTCTGTGTCGATAGCAGCTGTATAAGCACCCAGTAGATGGGGGAGATTGTGGCGTGAGAAGTGTATGGTCGCGTTGGCGAGGCACGCCGGGGTGGGATAAACTCGGACGCTGCACACTGCCGGCAATGCCAGTGCATACAGTATGCCGCGGTATATCCAGAGACACAGTGGCCATAGAATATCCTGTCAAGGAAAAGGCAATGAGAACACAGGAGGACACTTTCAAGCTTTGAGAAAGCAGCCCCTGTGGCTGAAGGCCCAGGTTACTGGAGGGGGGGGCAGCAGGGGGCGCTCACCCTGTGGTCTGTGTGGGTCCTAACACCCCAGTATAGCGACGGGGACACTGTACTGTAAAAAGGCGCCGTCCGTTCGGATGAGACATAAAACCGAGGTCCTGACTCTCTGTGGTCATTAACAATCCCAGGGTGTTTCTGGAAAAGAGTAGGGGTGTTACCCCCGGTGTCCTGGCTAAATTTCCCCCCTGGTCTTTACCAGTCATGGCCTCCTAATAACCCCCCTCTCTGAACTGGCTCCATCCCTCTGCTCTCCTCCCCACTGAGAGCTGGTGTGTGGGGAGCGGACTGGCGCATCATCCAGGTGGGGGTACACACTGGTGGTGGAGGGGATCCCCATCACCTGTAAAGTGCTTTGAATGCAGTGACCTGAAAAGTGCTGTAGAAGTGCAAGGGGGTGGGAGAGCAGTCTGTGGAGTTGAGCATGTGTACCGCAGGGTTGCCTGCATCCGATATTATGCATCTGATACTCATGGCTCTTCCGGGGGCAGTTCTGTTTATGGGTGGGGCACCTCTGCTTTTCACATGTATTGCAGTTGAAACCTGCCGTTCAGCATTTTAGGTTTTAAACCTTGTCCATCGTGCACCTTGATATTTTTATAGGACGGACGTGCAGATTAATGCCACTGTAGGGTCCGCTCCGCACAGATTCGTCTGCGTGCATCGGAAGCACTCCGTTCATGCAGGAGGGATGCTGGAATTCATCTCTAGGGAGAGACAAATCCTAATCTTCTATGGGATAGCTATTTGAAATGCACGTCCTGCCGTGTGCAGGGGAAGGGGGCATAAATCTCCAGGTCCCGGCCAGGGCTTGTGTTGCCAGCTCTGTGATGTATGGGACCTCAGAGAGAGGCACTGCAGAGACACACAGTGCTGCGCTCCTGACGATACAGGCTCACATTACTGGGCTACTGCAGATATACACAGTACTGCACTGCTGAAGAAACAGGCTCACAGTACTGGGCTACTGAAGATATACACAGTACTGCACTGCTGAAGAAACAGGCTCACAGTCCTGGGTGGAGTGGCTAAAAACACACACAGTAATAAGTTGCCGAAGACACACAATACTGGGCTGCTGAAGACACACACCATACTGCACTGCTGAAGATACACACACACACAGTAAATAGCTACAGAACACAGACGCATAGTACTGTGCTACTGAGAAGACACACATTAATGACCTACTAAAGGTCAGATGTTGCATTTTTCAGATGAGGAGTCTGCACAGAACCATCTTTAATCGCAGGTCTGCTTTGTGCAATCTGGCATGTAAGCTGAAGTGGTGTGCTAGGAGTAGGAGTAATAATTCCAGGAATGTTTAAAATGACAAACATAATACAATTTCACTAACTAGGAACACCCGTCAGGCTTATGGTGTGTTCAATTAAGGGGTGGGAGGGGGGGCGAATGTTAATGAGCTCTAACCGTTTCACAGTGCTGGAGTGTGCACAGCCAGAACATGGGCTTGATGAAGTGGAATTACGTCCAGCTTATAAGTTCCTGCTTTCTGCCGGAGCTGATCGCTGTTCCTTCCCATAAACCCTGTCTGTGAATTTATCCCCCAGGTCTCTGCTCCGCAGTCACAGTGTGCTCTGCAGGAGGCTGCTCTCGATTGCTGCCGAGAGACTGAGACGCGGTGACTGGCTTCTCTCTAATTTTGCGGTCTTCGTGTTGCATTTGTACGCCCTGTCTCCGTGACACACTTTGTCCCACGTTAACTGACCATTGTTCTCCCTGTTCCTCCTGAATCATGACCGCCTGTTCCAAGGGGCTGATTCGCCTTCAGCGAAGGCCGTGCCCCGAGCACGGTGCGACAGCTGACTGCGTGCGCTCTGTTGCAGATGTCGGCCCCGTGTCCATCACCACGGACCCGGAGCAGTTCCAGCGGGATCTCCGGGAGCTGTTCGTGCAGGTCAGTGCGTTCGGGGAAACCTGTCCCGACCCCCTCAGCCGAACGCGTCCGTACACGGTGTTTTAAAACGACCTGGGAAACATTTTTGCGCAGTACTGCATACCACACAGGAACATCAGAAAGGTCGCAAACTGAACTCCCGTCTCACTCATTCTCCTGTTGAGTCACTTTTCAGCGGCTTGGTGTTTTTGTCCAGCTGCTTTTTAGACTTTTGAATTTGGGCCTCAAACCAACTGGCCTGGGGGAAGCCTGTCCAAACGCCCACGGCTCTTTCTGTAAAGACGTGTCTCCTATTCCCATTGAGCCCCAATTCCCTTTCAGTCTCCAGGACGGTCCCAGGTCCTTGTTTCACCTCCGGGTCTGACCTTAGGACTGACTGTAGGCCGACCGCACGGAGGGCAAGAGGGAGGACAGACGCTGCTCGTCTATCGCGCCCTCCGACCTCTCGACGCGGGTTGGCCGGCGCTGACGAAACACAGAAACGGAAGCGCGTGTTGTGGGGGGGGGCGCCCTTCCCCGAGGGATGAAGCGGACCCCCTCCTATAGGCGCAGTGCTCCGGGATCCTTCGGGAAGGCGGGCGCGAGGAGTGAGGATTACATCGGCTGGCGCATGCCTGCAGGCGCCCGGCAAGTCGCAGAAGTCCGGGCGGTTTCATTGACAGCTCGGAGGACCCTGGCTGACTACTCCCATGATTCCCCCCCACCCGGCAGCTACCCTCACGCTACCGGTTTGGCGATCCGGGACGGGATGCGGGCTCGGGACTGCGGATCGGTGACCCTGGGGCCCGGCCTGTGCGCCGAGCGGGGAGCGGGAGGCCTGTCAAGGCAGAGCCCTGACAGTGCACAGCTCTCCTCTCCGCGCAGACACGCGCTGACACGCGCTGACAGGGCCCCAGGCCCCTGGGAGCAGGGTCGGGAAAGCGGCGGTGGCGGCGGCGGGTTGGAAAAGTTAAGGAATGCCGCTGACAAGACGCAGGAAGAGCAGGAGAGATTCCAGGAGCTCCTGTCTCCTTCTTGGAGAACGAACTGCCAGGAAGAAGACACCCCCCCACCCCCACCCCCATTCCAGCCTCCACTCCTTCCCAGACTCGGAGCCGCTGACCTGCCGGGTGGGGGGGGGGGAGGGAAGCAGACAGAAGTCATCGCTCTCCGGATGGGAAAGAAGATGGAAAGCAGAAGGAACTGGAACTGGCGGATCCTATCCGGTTTGGGGTTTTTTTTCTAAAAATCAGGATCAGCCTCCTGCATTTTTTTTTTTCCATTTTAGGTGTTAATTAGTGGCAAGCATTAACCCACAGGAATTACAGGAAAGCACAGAAAACATGCAGTACACCGGATTTCTTTTTCTGTACATAGTCATAAATAGATAAGTGGAGAAACAGGTGAAAAAATCATATTAGTACAATTTTGCAGGTTTTATTAACCCAGTTCTTCTGTATTGTTAACACCCTCATCTTTTGTTCTGTAGAAATTACCCGTAACATTGCTTGATACCATTCTATACCACGAATTGATTCTTCCTCAATTCCTTACAGAGAATCATGCCTGGTTTTAGTGCTCCAGATGGTGTTGTTTGTACCGTCTAAACTCAGGGCTCTTTCTCTGCTTGCTCACCCCCTTCTTTTCTTATTTCTGCTGCTTCTTTGTAATGTTTTCAGTGCCCAGATGCATTGATATGGGCTGAGAGGTCCTGGAGGGCATCGTTAATGGGGCGCAGTAGCTCAGTGACATGCAGGGTTATCTGGCGAATGTAATAACTGCTTTTGTCTCTGTCTCCCTTCCAAAGACATGCCAGCTGTGTTACCTGTATAGAAATTGCCCTGGTGTGTGTGCCCTGCACTGGACTGCTGTCTTGTCCAGGATGTAGTCCAGCCTATGTTTTCCTCATGTTTCCAGGATCAGATCTGGGTTGCCTTGACCCTTCCCATAAATAAGAGGCTTTCTGATGGTGGATGTTTTTTTTTTTTAAAAATACATTTTTATTTCTGGGCACATTGCAAGCCTCTGCTTGTTATGATTCACCCTGTGGTGCAGATTCGCAGCTTGTGCGCGCAGCTGAGCTCCAGAGAGCCGGTCTGTCCACAGGCCTCCTCTCTTCAGGCCTGACTCACTGCGTGCCTCCGGCATGTCGTCTGTGATTCATTCGGAGTGACTCACCTGCTAGGGGTCACTGTCCCCTGCTTTGCTGGTTCTCTGATTATTCGCTGAAACACCCTCCAGGAATATCTATGTGCCTGCGGCATCTCTACACATAAGAACGGATCTTATGGGGTACATACAGGTCTTCAGCGATATCATTGCAAGAGATTTCCCATGTTTTTTTTCCATAATTCTACCATACTTTGGGTGTTCTTCAAATAGTTTCCTTCACTTTGTACTGTGCTTTGCCATCAATCTCTAAAATTTCACTACTGTTCCACCATGCTACACTACACTTTACTCTGCAATTAGCATGCTCTCCTCTTCGCTACACTTCACTGCGTTTTCCCCATGGGAAATACTGCATCATCAACTCCTGGACGCAAAAATAACGCTCACCTCAGGCCCGAGCAAACCTCTGTCCCCAGTCTGTTTGCTAACACTCGTTCAAGTAGGGAGCTGCGTCAGCATGCGTAGGCTGCAAAGGAACAAATAAAGGTTTATTCCCTGCTGAAAAGAGAGGAAGAGAAACACACCACATTTCAGCTGTGGAGCCTTCTGTGGGTGCGTGTCCTTCTTCACACCTGAAGAAGGCTCCACAGCCGAAATGTAGTGTTTCTTTCTCAGCATGGGATAAGCCATTACTTTTTCCTTATCCGCTAACGCTGACATGCTTCCCGCTGGGAGACCCAGGATGAGGGTCGGCTGATGCGTTCCGATGTCCGGGGAGAGTTTTGGAGAGTCTTTTTTGTTTCTCAAGGCCTGTCCTGTCCTGCTGCTGCTGTTCTTCCAGGGGGGCGGCGACTGTCCGGAGATGAGCGTGGGGGCGATCAAGAAGGCGCTGGAGGTCTCCCTGCCTGGGTCCTTCATCTACGTCTTCACGGATGCCCAGGCCAAGGACCACCGGCTCAAACAGGACGTCCTGCGCCTGGTGCAGCTCCGGCAGTCGCAGGTACAGTAGGGAAGCATCAAGGGGGAGGCGGGGGTCTTCTGGAGATTTGGGAGTGTCCCAGCAGACGCTCGGATCCAGAGATTTGGAATCTTGGAATAAGCGTCTTGTGGCATGAGCAACAAGGAGCGTCAACGCGGTTATTGAGTGCACCCGGATCAATCATTCCGTATTGATTCATTTGATGTAGTAGCAAAATATGTCACCTTGTAACAGCAGTGTTGTCACCCTATAGTCCAACCTTACTGCCGCTTGTTTTATAGAGCTCCTTTAAGAGTGGCTTCTTGAAGTGCTTTACAGAAATAACAGCATCTCTTGCGCTGAGCAGGGCGGGGCCTGGTCAGTACAGAGATGGCACACGTCCAAGGAAAACAGCGTTGGTGAGGCAAGTGGTGTAAGTGGACCAGTAGGTGGCGATCTCTCCCCTGGACCACAATGTTCAGATCAAGGCCCCGGTTTGGTGACTGAGGACGTGCCATCCTGTGACCGAGACATTAAAACAAGGTCCCAACTGCTTTGTTTCGAAAGAGCTCGTCTGTGGCTTGTACAGTATGATCTTGTATCATTGGGTCTCTGGGCTGGTGCACTTTCTCTCTCGCCCTCCTCAACCGGCTGCACTTCAGCGTTTTAGTTCAAGTGTGTCCCTGCTGTACGTAGAACACTTTGGGATGAATAGTGCCATGCAAATGCAATTCATTATTAATTACATATTTAATACAATCTAATATCCGTTCTTGATTTCACTTATAATTCATGTCTCTGGGTTCTGCGAGGCTTGATCACCCATGCGTGCAGGGTGGACAGACCCTCCCTGCCCTAATGCCCCCCCCACTCCCGTGCTCCCCCGTGCCCAGGTGGTGTTTGTGCTGACGGGGGACTGCGGGGACCGTTCCCAGCCCGGGTACAGGGTCTACGAGGAGATCGCCGCCACCAGCTCCGGCCAGATCTTCCACCTGGACAAGCAGCAGGTCAACGAGGTGAGAGGTGAAAAGGTTGCGCACCCCCCCCCCAGCAAAGGGGGCCGGAAAGTTCCGCAAGCACGGTGCTCTTTAATGTCTGCTCCCCCCTCCCCCTTCCCCTGTGCCCTTACCCCTCGGACACTGGAGGCTGGAGCCACGGAAAGGCTCTCGTCTTCAGGAACTGTTAACCCTTTAGCCTCCTGAATGGACAAGCGGCTGCAGCACTTTTACTATGGAGCAGCGACGCCTTGTCTGGAAGAAAACAAAAACCTGCGTCGGGAAAAAAAGGAAACCGTTGTTTCTCTGGGTTATACTAAACTATTTTTTTTATCAGTAAAAGAAAAAAAGAAAAATAGCTCATATGCATGTTTGGTAGGCTAGCTGTTATAAATTATATATGATTTACAGGATTAGAGCCCGCGGTAAAAGTAGAAACAGAATCCCAAGGGCAGCTCTGAAGTCCTGACGTCTTCTGGCGCTTGGAAGGAAAAGGCCTGGATAAGTGTGCTGCCGAAGCCAGTCTGTGCCTGAGCTGTGTGACGCATCGCAAAAGCAAACAAATCTGCTCTCGTCAGAGAGACGTGCATGCGGCACATCACCACTGGGGCTCTGTGGGCTGACGAGGCCGGACTTGTGAAAGCCATGGGTCACCTCCGGGGTCACCAGCTCAGCAGGTGGTGTCAACGTCCACCTCCAGTCAGTTCCTCTGAAGTTCGGAAGATGTCATTCTCTGTTGTTACTGGTGCAGCCCTGACCGCAAAAGTTAGCGCCCTTTGTTTTCCTGCCACGTCAAAGGCTTTGTAATACCTCCGAGGGAGTGAGTGTGCTATTTTTCCTTACTGGACGTGTTCTGTCTGGTTTATGGTGCTTTTGGTGAGGTACCTGTGTTTTCTGTGTGAAGGGCAAGAATCCATATGGACAGGGTCCATAGGGAACATGTTCCTTTAGGCAGCAGTGTGGAGTACCTGCTAACACTCTGGCTTGAACACCAGAGAGTTGCAAGTTCAAATCCTAGGAGAAACGCCGCCGTTATAGCCTGGACAAAGGTGCTTTTTCTCAGTCTGCACCTGTACATTGTCCTTCTGAATAAATGGGTCTCTGGGGTGTCATTGCTAATAAGAGCTTGTTCTCATATGTCTCTCTCGGGTAAAATAAGAACGTAAACTAAGCCCAAAGGTGGATGTAATTTTCTTGGTCTGGACTTAAAAAGAAAAACACGGGTGAAATAAAAAATGAAGCTGCTGAAAAACTTGGAGAACCATGGGATTTGAAAGAGTTCTGTGCACGAAGTAATCTGTTGCCGCAGGTGAACTTGATTAGGCTGAGACCTATCAATTTGATGACGCTTTTGTTAACTGATAAACTAATCGTGAATGTTGAGTAGCAAATTCATAAAGCGATGAAGAGAAAATAGTGATTGCAATTAAAAAATCAGGATGTAATAATATTTAGATACAAGAAAGCTTGCCTAGCCTAGGAAATTAATCCTGCGCTGTTAGAATTGAACCGGCTCCAACACCCCTCTCATCAAACCCACAAGTATGTCCTGAAACCGAAAACCATTAGCTGAGAGCTCGTCTCTCTGATGTGAGTTTAAGACACTGCAGCCGTGCTCCAAAATAAATATACAGACGCGTCTGTGATTTCCAGTGGAGTATTAATGAAAAGGCTCCACACGGCCTTATTCCAAATCCCGGAGATAATCGATTGCATCCTTGCCTTCCAAACACAGCTGCCCCCCCCGGAGTGCTGGCCAAGTCGGGAAACAATGGGCCGTTGTGTTTTGCCGCATCTTTCAAGGACCAAAAGACCGCGACTCCGTGTTAATCAATTCCGAAACCAGACTATAACCCCCGGAAAAAAAAATCCCCCTTCTCTGGGACTGCGCTCGGCGCGCCAAGCTCTTCCCAGCGTCGCCGAAACAAAGCCCAGTCCCTTGTTGCACTGTACGGGAAATCGAGCAGCTCCCCGTTGAAAGGACGGATTCCTTTCCCAGGGATTAGAAGTGTCCGAGTGGGGGTGGAAAGGAGCATGCATGAGAACTGGGGGAGCTCCCCGCCGAGTTCCCAACGCCGTGCCTTCTGGACACTAAGAGGATTTCCGAGCCGGAGCCAAGGATCCAGTCTGGCGCGGATGTCGGTGCTGAGAAACGGCCCGAGAGCTCCGCCGCTTTGGGAGATGCTCTGCCGGCCAGGTCGTGCCACTTATTCCCAATATCTACGGAGGCCGTTCAAGGCTCCGGTCTCCACACAGCTGGTCGGTGTGATCCAGAGGGATAAGTGTAGGATTCCAGAACAGGCCGTTCTGGCCAGGGCTAGGAATCTGCACAGCCTGGAGCTGTGCCTGTGGAGCTGGCCTGGGTCAGTGCCCTTCGGTGAGCATGAGGTGCTCTTCTTTAGAGTAAGTGCTCTAGGGATATATAGCATTTTAGGCATTTAGCTGGAGCAACTGCAGGAGATGTACCCTGCTCAAGGGTTAAGACGGACCTGAGCCCGAAACCTTCCTCTCTTGGAGTCTAGAGCCCTGAAACAGAGACTCCAGAGCAGAGACTTGTC